GTACTGGTCGCACTGCGGACGGGAGCGGGGCGGGGTGAGGCGGAGTGGTCACGCCCCCCGCCCGCCCCCATTGAGCCCTTCCCCCACAGGTCATCCCAGCTCCACCCACCCCCTAGGGATTCCTGGGAGGGAGGGGACGGAAGGGGAAAGCAAGGCGGCCCTCAGGGCAGGTGGAAAGCTGGACGCTGAGGGCTAGAGCCCCTGCCCCATCTGCCAGTCTGCCAGGACAGGCTGTGCTCCTGTTCTGCCATAGCTCTTCTCGAGACCCCCCCCCAACACCACCTGAGCTGTTGACTGGGCAGTCACCAATCCCCGAGCCACGTCGTGGGCCAGGCCACCAGCTCCACTGCAGCCTGAACGTTGTCTGCGGGAAATTCCTGCAGACCTGCCCATCCTGTCCCCACCATCCTGGCCCCTGTAACAGGACGCCACAGCCGAGGCTGCTGCCTGGGCATGAGGACATCATGCCCCACAGGCAAGCCAGAGCCCAGGACTGGACAGGAACTTAGAGGCAGGGCAGGAACTAGCAGACTGGGCTCCCAGGGCCATCTGGGCGCTGGCCCCGAACTCGAGGTAACCCACATCCCGCTAGCTTATATATACTAGCTGTTTCTCATTCCTGCCTCATATGAACCCGGGGCCCTACCCAGGATCTGTAAGCAAAAACCTTTGACCATGTTTCCTATGGTCACTCTTCTTTTTTTGGAGTTGGGGGTCTCACTCACTGCTGGAGAGCAGTGGCACAATCATAGCTCACCACAACCTTGACCTCCTGGGCTCAGGCAATCCTCCCACTTCAGCCTCCTGAATAGCTGGGACTACAGGCACGCACCACCACACCTGGCTAATTTTTAAAATTTTCGTAGAGATGAGCACTCGCTGTTGCCCAGGCTGGCCTCGAACTCCTGGGCTCAAGACAGCCTCCCATCTCAGCCTCCCAAAGTGCTGGGAGGACAGGCGCGAGCCATTGCACCTGGCTGTAGTGGACTGCGTTTGCGCCTTCCACCTGAGGAACCAGGGGAGGCCCCAGGATGCCAGGAAGAACATGAGGACAGGCTCCCAGTGCCACAGCGATGGTCAGGCAGGCACAAACTGGACATGGGTCAGACATGAGCCACAAGGGCGCCTGCCAGTGTAAATAAGTTCTCCCCATGAGGAACCCTGGTCACGGTCAGACAACCGGGCATTAGGCGTCTGCAGGTGAGTGAAGTACCCAGGGGAAAGGGCACTGTTACCACAGCCATCCTCTTCCTTCTCCGTTTGCAAGGGGTTGCCAGCCGGCCGGCACTGGAACCCCTGTTTTTCCGGGGCTCTCAGATCAGCCCCAGCGTGAAGCTTCTCATGAACACAACTGCTCTGAGTGGGATCCCCTTCTCCCAGGCAGGGGTCTCTCCGCCATAGGACATGGTCTCTGATTGGTCCTGCCGAGCCTTCCCTGGGCTGCGGCAGGCTGGTCTGCTCCCATGTGAGGACAGGACAGGGCTTGCCGCCAGGTCCAGCAATCTGCAGGGTGGCCCCCTCTCTCAGCCCCTCGAGGCGTCAGCCTGGCATGTGGCCAGCCTCTGAGCCACCATGACTGTGATTATCAGGGCTGTTTGTCACCATCAGCTCAAACAACAACACCCTGGGGTCCCACAATTACTCCCAGCTCGGTCCTTGCTGCTCCCAGGTTCCCCTGTTAGCCCAACGCCTAGGGAGATGCTGCTGGCAGTGATTAAATCAGGCCCACACCTCAACCTCAGGCAGGGTCTTGCAGCCCCCCAGTCCCAGCGGCCCTGGCCAGCCGGAGGAGAGGGAGCAGCCATGGCGCCAGCCTTCCCTCTCGGGTGGGGGAGGATTCCTGGAGGCGCCACACGGGTTGCCATGGAGCCCAGGGCCTGTCAGGCTCAGAGGAG